TTATTTTAATGATTTTTATTTTTAAATTAATTTTACGAAAAAAAGGAAACCCAATAGAAGTACAACAGATGTGTTGTCTAGTGAACCTCATTTTTCTTGCTTACTATACTGCTTATTTGTTGTTTTAGAAAAAAAAATGTAGGGGATCTATAATTCTGATTTTTCTATTCATGTTACTGAACAAATTTTGTGTTAAACATATCCGATTATCTAAATAAATAGGCATTCTTAATGATTTTTTTGTTCTTGCTTATGTGTACCCACCTTGAATTCCGTAATTCTCAAATAATATTACGTAAAACTAAAAGTATTACAAACTAAGTGTTATCTTCGTTGTCGAATGCCAATCTTTGTTGTTTGATAGTTTTTTGATTCAATGAAACACAAGAAAGTAAGAGAGTGAATGGATAGTCTTTGTTGACATTGAGTACAGGTGTTCATTTCGTTTGACATCAGCACTGAAGATGCTTCACTTCAACTACTTACTTTGGTGAATAACTATTCCCTTTTTATGAGGCAAATTGCATTGTACAGTACATAAGTTTTTCTCATTCTAAAGTGTATGTTTGCAGAAATTTGACGAGTTACAGGTCTGATCACGAGCTGAACAAGTACTGTACATCTATTTTGTCTTAGTTTCAGGTTCCTCGGCAGTACTCAACACTGGGGTTTGGACCCAGGAAATTCCGGTTACATAATGACCTCTCAGATCGTTAAGTCACTGGAACGGAATCCAATGGCCCATGGATTCTAACTTCTGCCAATTCTCGATATACGTACCTTGGTAGACCCCACTGCTCATGACTTCTCACTAGAACTCCAGGCAACCTCATATATATAGAGGCAGTCACCAGTGAGTATCAGATAAATTTTCAAGTGTTGGTTTTCATTGATTGAGCTCCGAATGGAACAAAGAGATTCAGTCTTGGGGCTTTGATCTTTCAGTAGGCGTGATGTTCTATTTTCTACACGGTGGGTTTATTAGACCCATGTCAAACCTTTCCTCTTTGCCAGGATTACTTTCAGATTCTCAAGTGTTGGTTTGTAGGGATTTGATTGGTCACAGGATTTCATCATAACCTGACATTGGTTAGAGAACCATTGGAAAACCTGGGAGTACTGGACAACTGTTTCGTCCTAGTTTGGGACTCCTCAGAAGTACGCACCCACGGGGGCTAGTGGTCGCGCTATGTCGTGAATTGGTAGAAGTTAGAATTCATGGGCCATTGGATCGGGTCCCAGTGGCTTAATGGTCTACGAGCTTGCCTTGTAACCAGAAAGTCCTTGGTTCGAACCCCGGTTGGTGCGTACTGCTGAAGAGTCCCAAACTAGGACGAAACAGCTACCCAGTACTCCAAGGTTTTCCAATACTTTCAGATTTTAAAGTAGTCGTGTTATTAGGAGTGTGTCCACTGAGAATCGGATCCCAGACCACGTGCATGGTTGGCAGGTATTCGACAACTGAACCTCCGAAGTATATAAGTAAATGAGTAGTTTTAAGCCTATTCATTTAGTAAATCTCACATATTTCACAAAAGTGCAGAATAATATACACGAAAGAAGTGTGTTTTACGTGTAAAACCTCTAATGTCACTTTTCTTTTAGAAGTGATTACTTTTAAATAGTCACGTTTGTAATAATTATCTGGTTAAAGCCAGTTGTTTAGTTAGTAGAGTAATTATTACGTACCTACATTAGTTAAACTATCATGGAATTGAGAAAGTGGTAGCTAACTTATCCTATTTAATGTTTTTTGACAGGTGATGGATAACTGCAGAAGACAAAAGGTACATTTCTTCCTATTGGAGGCTCATGAACTAGAATGTGTCTGTATCCAAGTTTCTGATAACACAGTAGTGCTCATAGCACTAAGCTACTGAGTCATAGGACTGACCTCTTATGGAATCAAGAAAGATGAGTGTTGTACCCCAATTAAGTAGGAGTATTATCACTCACCTTGATACATATAGGTTCAAATGAATATTAACAAGTAAGAGGGGATTGACATTGTGTGTATATGTGTGGGAGGGAGAGACAAACTACAAGTGCATTCATTCGTAACGTCACATGTGATATTGCAGCTATTATTCTGAAGTAAGGAATTTTCGCATTTCGTAGAAGTCTTGATTTCTGTTAACTTTCAGAATAGTATTGTCCAGTCTTTCAAGGCAGTTCATAGGCAAGACTTCACATATAAAAGCTTGTATTTGTATCTCACTTTATCTGCTTTTATGTAGGCTTGAAATAGTCCGGCAACTGGTTCCTAAATGGTTCATGATTGACTAGTAATAAAAAGTCGGAAAGGAAATTTATCTCGTTAGTCTACTTTTGGCGTCATTGTGCTTCGAGAAACAAAAAAGAAGTAAGAACATCAAAAGCTCTTATACAACTTTTTTATTTAAGGCAAGTGCAGTTATTGTGCAAACTGATTCTTTCTAAAATAAAAAACTGAACGACATCTTTACCCATCCAAAAATACTTTATTATAAAAAGCTAACTAAACAATGCTGGGATACGAAATAAACAAAAAAGACTTCCTGTCTTGTTTAACTGTTTTTTTCTTTGGTCTGAATCTGTAATTTACATATACATGTACTTATAAGGATTGTAATTTAACTTGTTTAGTTTTACATAATCATAAAGTATGTGAATGCCACTCTGACCGGTAGGAACTAGTCTCTCTAAGTACAGATTGTTTTTTAGTAACACAGTGAAAGAAGCTGTGAAGTAACTTTTCATTTCTCCCCTAAATAATTTTCAGATTCGTTTCACTTAGTTATTTTCTCCCTTAGTCTTGCAGTGATGACACTTTTCTCTCTCTCAACTTTGTTTCTTTTATGAACAAGTTAAGTACTTGTAACTAACTTAGTTTTCGCTACTTGCATAAAACTTACACTGGACTTCAGTTAGAAACTATACTTTAAGGAATATTCTAGGGGTTTGTGATGAGTAAATTAATAATAACTTAAGAGTAATTACATTAGGTTGATTAGTGCGAATTTTGAAAGGGCAGTGATTTTCTATCAAGCTCTTGTCTTAAATCTAGATTTTGTAGTGTGCTACACCACAAAAGCATACGGAGAAAATTTAACTCGAGTTATTCTAGCTAAAATTAGTTTCTTTGTGAATTTAACAGCTACTTACTCGTAGAAAGCATGATTTTGTTTTAAACAGTTTGGGCTCCCAGTTTCTGTAATTTTTAATAAAACTCTGGTTTATGCATTCTGATAGTCAAATTTTTGTTTCTTCGTCATATCTGCATGTTTACATTTTGGGAATGTGACTACAAGAAAGAGCATTCGTGAAAGGCAAATGCGACACTACCCAGCAGAGGATGGTATGCGATGTAACAATGGCAGTCGGTGTTTCTACAATAGATGTGTCAGTCTAACCCCTGCAGCGTAAATCTGTTGCTGCAAGCCCCCTGCTAACTGGTTTTGCAACGGCTGTTGCGAGATGACAGAATCCCTTATCGCAACACTGGAATTTCTGGATTGATAAGGTCAGTCATTACAGGGGAAAAACAACGAGTGCTCGGGCACCGACGATACTAATAGCGTTCCTGATGAGTCAGAAAGTATCCTTGATGAGATATTATTAAGAAAGCCTAACTGCAATACGCCCAGTCTGCCAAAAGGGAAAGGCTTAACAAGGGTTGCATACCTACTGCAAAATGCGCTGACTTAGCAGATTTGATCTCATCCATACAGCAAGCTGTCCCCACCAAAGTCAGGTGGAGATGAGAACGCTATTGAATGGTGTGATGTTATCATATTCAAAGAGCGAGAGGAAATTATTGCAAAAACAACAATGAACGGAAGTGTGAGAAGATATCATTGTCTCAAAAGTACAAAAGTCGACTGAAGTATACCTGATCTCTCCAACGGATCAATCATTTTCCAGTGTGAACATTTATAAACCTTATTCAATAGCTATACCATGATGCCATATGTCAAGTGATTCACAACGGAAAGCTCAGCAAAGCCTTCGAAGTGAAGATAGGAGTAAGACAAGGCTGGCTACTATCACCGGTGATGTTCCTGGTTGTTGTGGAATAGATCATGTGACAGACCATGAGGAGCGTGAAGACAGACATATGTCGGACCGACAAGAAGATGCTGGAAGATTTGGACTTCGCCCAGTGTCCCACAAAGTAAAAGATGAAGAGGCGAAAACCAACAAGTTGTCAGAAGAAGCAGCGAAGAGAGGACATCAAGTAGACATACAGAAGACACAGGTGATGAAGATGTTAGACCACCGACAACAAATACCAATTACCATCAATGGAATAATCTAAAGGCTACCGTTTCTCTCTCTTACATGGGCAGAATAGATAAGGATGTCAAAGCCAGGATTGATTTACAGAAGCAATAGATAGTTTCGTTACACTGAAATAAGTTTGGAGATCTGTTGCATTCAGCATGAAGGAACGAGATCCGAATTCTTAACACTGATGTCCAGGGGCTGGGCATGTCACTGGAAGCGTTTCTACCAGTTTGTTGCAAACTTTTATCAATAGCCACCTTCTCTAGGTCGACAATAAAGATCATATGGCCAGCCGGACAGGATAAACAATAAAGAACTGTAGCCACAAACCAACCGAGAACCTGCCGCTCAACATTTATGAAGAAAGAAATAGAGATGGGTTGTACATACACATGCAGGTGACCGCTGAGAGACAACGCGGAGCCCCTCACAAGTGAAACACAAATAAGAAGTGACGATTTGGGCATCAGAATGTGAAATGCAGAAGCTTGCTGAGGGCCTATAACACTTCATATAGGCAACTGTTTGGTTTCGTATATGATGGCAACTTAGTGAAGTGTTTATCGAGTAAATATTCTTTTGCTGATAGCAAGCATACCTTATACTCTGCTAATCATATACCTTCTAGCCTATACAAATAGGTTTTTAATGTTATCTGTAATCTTTTAGAAAGGTTTAAGCAAAATAAAAATAATTTACAAATTGTCCACGTATTCAAATGAATATTTACTTACTCGTCTCATAGCTTGTCTATTCGCTCTCTGTTTTCTTTGATAAATCCGCGAGAAATTCGATACAATTACAGGTACAGGCAAAGCGATAACTAGGACACCGCATAGCGAACAAACACTGCCAATAATTTTTCCCAACACTGTAGACGGTATCATATCACCATATCTAAAGAAATTAAGATAAAAAAAACGTGGAGAGATGTTAAAATAATCTTGACAAACTACACAAGAGAAATAACTACATGATTAAAAAGGTTATTCTTGACATTATTCAAAGATGGTTTCAATTTCAAAACTTTTTCTTAGATGGAAACGTCACAGACGGAATGTGCTGACTGTTTCATAAAGTCTCTCTCAAAATGATGGACATTCTGAACTCAATTCAAGTTTGAAATTAATAATGTTCATTATTTTGAAGATTTTACTTTTCAGTGAGTGAAAAGCAACACAGTTTTCACTTTTTCCACTTTAAATTCTTACTAAAAAGCTAAAATTTAATGCATTTCACACTGTTCACAACTACAATTTACTACTTTTCAAACAGTTAAAAATTTTTCTGCGAAATTCAATTGTTAAAGCATACCACATGATTCATTTAAAAAAAAACAATATGGCTCGATAACATAACAGATTATGTTCAAAATGCATAGCATCGCTGTATGGATAGGAGGCTTAATTAATAATCATAAACTATTCTATTAGTCGTAAGACGAGGATTATTCAAATATATGCCTATATTGGAACAGAAACTATTGACGGAGAGAGTGAGAGAGTCATTTTCAAGCATGAGACGGTTTTCTCACTTAATAGTCCGTTTATAAATTCATATGGTCAAATATATGTACGCATGTCACAAATAGGCTAATTAGTTGTGAGATTATTATGTGCAACATTCATTTCGTGTTTAAGGTCATTTATACAGATTTATCCTTTTCACTGTATTCGGGAGTAGTAGTTATTAATTATTTTAATGAGTATTTTTCATAATTCATGTTTACTTCATAGAAAAGAGAAAAGTTCCTTAACGGTTACAAGCACTCCATACAAATCAGTGGGGACAAAAACAAGATCTCTATTATTCGTCATGTACTAATTAGTTTCTAGTATTTAACATTATATGCATACATCATTTCACAGTTACTTAGAATAGGGCAAACAGTAAAATGAACTGTTGTTTGATGGTGTCTAGAAGTGGAATGAAGGTTGAGTATTTCGTTCCGTTATGTTAACCATCAAAAACCATTGAGGCGTCAGTACTAGAAGTCGATATGTCAAAAGGCACCTAGAAGTTAGGTTCACTGTAAAACAACCAACAGGGAATTCAAATTAACTGAAACAAACAACCACTGACACCTGTTGCAGAAAAGGTGGCTCTCATGTCTCTGTGGTCTAGTGAATAGCCTTTTTTATTTAAAACTATGGTTTTGGGTTCGAGTCTCAGTTAAAACACTGTCAGTTTCTTGGGATGCAAGTATGTCCAGCTGACGCAATCTAAAACACAACGAAATGAACATCCTAGATGTTGATACTAGCTGCTATTAACTAGATAACATCATATTAACCATCTGACAGCTTCAGTATGTGCGTCAGTGGCACACCGGTTAGGACGCTCGCCGACCATGCACATGGTCCGCGGTTCGATCCGCAACCGACGCACACCTGATATCAATGGTCGGCCTGCTAAATTCGGGCCACCGATATCACATGCTGAAAATTCCATACTTGTACCAAAATGGTGTGTGGAATTAAGCTATAATGAAAAAAAGATGTCCACACAGGGAACCAACAAGACTTCAGATACACAGTATTTCTGCCCATTTGAAACTAATCGACGGAAAAGTCAAATTAACTTAGTCAAACATTAACTTTGACTTTTACAGTTTGACTGTTGCTGTATTAATTATAATGATTCATAAGAAACACAAATTGTTTTGGTATTGTTATGATTTCTGAGAAAAATGAACTGACTGTGAGGCTGTCATCATGCAGCTAGACGAATTTCTCGACGCTAATTTAAAAACTGAAATGAGATTTAATTATTATTTATTATTATTCCTTTGGGTTCCGAGTGGAACATTTAGCTTCAACAACACATCTCCACTTTGTTCTATTTTTGCTGTCCTCTTCATCTGGGCCCAAGATTGACCGTAATGTCTTATCCCCTCCTCCTCGCTACACTATCTCCTCCATGTCATCCTCGCTTCCCATTAGGATTGCACTCTAGTAATGGCCTGCATTGCGCCCGATGTCATTCGACGGCCTCCTCAACGTCGGAAATGAGATCTTGGAATTCACCCATTATTAAAATGACTATCTTTTCTGATGACCATGATTATGATCGGACGTCTTCGGAGATTTTCTTATGACTGTATTCACCTGTACTGGTAGAGATATTTAAAATCAAACTTTTGACTATGCAACTTATATCTTATTGATTAATGCATTTCTATCTCTTTAAACTGTAAACTGATCTGAGTAGTAGTTTTCGAAGAATTCTCTAGTATTCTTTAGGAAAGAGAATTTCAAATGTTTCACAACCAAACAGTCTGCTTTACTTAATGTTGCTGTATATAAGGATACAGTCACATTTGTTAAACGGAGACATAATGCGGTAAGAATGCACACAATCTAGTGTAACATCGATGAATGCGACGGTGATAGTTAGCTGTACTGAGATTTAAGAATATGTAAATAATGTAATTGTGTTATAGATTATTAATTAACTCTTATGTGTTTAATATATTTTCACAATTTATCATGAGAAATAGAGTAATTCATATACTTTTCGTTGAAATAAATAGTGTTTGCTGTCTTTATAACTATAAGAAAACTATTAACTATAGGAAATGTTAAATTAATTTCAATGAATACAGAGTTTATTTCATTTCTAAAGTAAACATTAATTATTTTTCAAATGATTTTTTTCTTTTTTCTGGACCCAAAGCCACATGATTAATGATCTGTGTTGTACTTTCTTCTGGGCATTGAAAAATGAACGCAAAGTGAAAGAATATTTGATGTTTTATACTGATGCATGTATATTATGAAATTAGTACTTGACGCTTGTATTTTCTTTTCAAGGATTTTGTTTCTTTTTAAACAACAATTATACATTACGAAAGAATTTAACAGAATTTCGGGCACTTGATTAGTAAAGTGAAGATAGTCTATTCACGTAGACTTTTTCAAAACATATTTTGAATAGACGGTGATTCACTTTTGACATATATCAGTATGGGTGTTTAACTATTGAATTAGTTGTGTTCACTGAGCTGGTTGATTTAATTGTGAAGCTTTCGTCATCCCTCTAGACAACGTCTTCAGTGTAGGTTTTAGTATGGAATGAACTTATTTGAATTCTCCATGAATTATGACTTAATTTTATTTGCTCGCAACCGTTGTCCTGACTGGTTGATATGGGGATAAAACTTGGGCACTGTGGTAGAGTATAATTCCACTATAAGTTTGGTAAATTTGGTCTATAGTAATGTGTTTTTTAATTGCTAATTCACTTGAGTACCAGGCCTCTAGAAATCCTCTGGCACTTTTGGTGTTCCCTCTATTTAAAATTTCTACATTATCCCAATCATGAAATTAGTGTCCATAATTGTCCGCATGCAGTGGTATGAAAGAATATATATCATGTCCTTTAAAAGCCAATTTGTGTTCTTGGATTCAGATTCAAAGGGGACACTTTTGAATAAAAAGTAAATCACATGACAAGAAAGTTCAAATTCCAAGTCAATAAAAATGATCAGTAGAGATGTAAATCAGCAACCAGTCACGACAATGGTTGCGAGGAAATACAATTTTATCATTCACGGAGAATTCAAATAAGTTCATTTCATACTAAAACCTGCTCTGAAGATGTTGTCTAGAAGGACGATGAAAGCTTCAAAATTAAATCAACTAGCTCAGAGAACACAACTAATTCAATATCATCCACCTGAGCTACAAATCTTCTCTATTATTTCAAAATCTTACGAGGTATTTAACTAATTTTATTGGAACGCATATTGCTTTTTGATGATCTAATAGAGAAATTTAACATTGGGTAAAATTTGTCTATATTTATGTGGTAGGAGAGTGGTGACTATTGTTAAGTGGATTCGATGGTGGGGCCATATGAGAACTACCCTTTTATGTGGAAGAACACTGCCTTTTGGAATGGCTCTTGAGTTTGTACGACATCGACGTAAACAGAGGTGAAAACCTGTTTTTAGGTTAAACAATAACTGATACGCGTTGCACAAGAGGTGTCTGTCGTGACCTAGTAGGAAATAGCTTGGTGTTTGAAACTACGGGTGTACGGTTCGTGTCTTAGCTGGAACACAATCGCTCACTCGGAATAAAGGCACATCCAGATGACGAGTCCATAACAGGGCGAAATGCGCATCCAGGATTCTACTGCTAGTCATCATCAACCGAAAGATGAAAACTGTTTGAAAGCCAGCAATCAGGTATGAATCACCTTTTAATGCAAGTACGTGCTATTCCAGATAAACTACACTTTGTTGACATTCAGTATAATTTTTGTATACCTGATAAATTTGGGAATAACCTCCCTGACGAAGTAGGAATTCATAGGCTGGCCAGTGGCTGAATGGACTACGAGCTCGCTTTGTAACCGGAGGGTCCTGGGTTCGAAACTCTGTAGTGCGTACTATTGAAGAGACCCAGAATAGGACGAAACATCTACTCACTACTACCAGGTTTTCTAATGGTCCTCTAACTAATGTCAGGTCATAGCGAAATTCTATAACCAATCAAGTCCATGCAAACCAACACTTGAACAAGTTGTTTTAAGTTAGCATTATGTACTGAAGAAATATGCTTATTTTATAAAAACAGGTGTGTTTTAGCATATAATAACTAATTTCTACGGTATTTTGATGAACATCTTCAAAGCATCATATACAGTGAATAACCGAAGCAAACACGTAATGGAAGTTATAACTTATTTAGATAAAACAACAGATATCGCTCTATTTTTCCCTTGAAAGAGAAGTTTCTTAAGTCGATTCCCTGAAGCAGGAACAAGAACAACTTTTAGAAACTTGACATTAAGGAAGACAGAAAAACTGATAGATCTTTAGAGCTTTTCCTGTACTTTTCATTTTTACTTGTGCTGAATACACGTTTCTAAGTAAGCTCAACTCCTGCTTC